TATTAAAAGTGTGTTATATTACTATGTTTATATCATTTAAATTTAATTATATATCATATACAATATATAAGATTGATTATTTTGATTTATTTACCCTAATTGTGAATAAACAAGAGTAATAGTTAAATTTATATGCATACGCCAATTTATTACATAATAGTAACTGATTTCTTAGTTATTTAATATATATTTATTATTTATAATATGCAGAAAAATATAAAATAAATAATAAATATAAAATACTTATTGTGCATAAAGTGCAGATCTTAACCTAAGTATGTATCTCTTTAATTATTTTAAATCTTAAGTATTTTCTAAAACAAACGAAATGAGAATAAAATTCAAAATAAATATTTATATCGAGTACTAACCAAAATATAAAAAAACATAGCAAGAGAAAAATGGAAGATAAATAAGGCTGACACGTGAACGTAAACTTCTCAGAACCATAATTAATTTTTAAATTGTTAAATCATGATATAAAACTGAGTTCTTTTTAATTTGTTAATTTTTAATTTTTTATTTTTTTAATTTTTTAAATCATTATGGTTATGTTAAATCATGACCATAATTAATTTTAAATTATTTATTTGTATTTGAAAAATTTAAAATATTGTTTTTAAAAATAATTTAAAAATTAACATAATTTTTTTATAAATTATTTTTGAAAATAATAATTTGTAAAAAATATAATTTTCTAATATTATTAGACAGATAAATAAATTATAATAAATTAGTTTTGAAACTTTATATATTTTAAATGCAGATATTTTATCAATTGCTTCTTAAAAAACATTAGGGAACTTGCTAATACTCTATCGATCAAGCCCAGTAACACTCCATTTATTTTCCATCACTCGAACATTGAAAAGTGAAAAGATATATGAAAACAGATCCATTAAATTCTAAGATTTGATCTACATTTATAATTAAAATTGTTTATGATCCTACGTATAGATAATTATATAAAATTTTCAAAATTCTTAAATTTCAAATACATACAAAAACAATCATATGTAAATTTTAAATTTGTCAATACTAAAATATTATATTTTAATTACATATATTCACCATGCGCAAGACGCATGTCTTATCTTAGTTTCTATTTTATAGTGATTCTTTACGGATCTGTAGTATACGTTTATACTTTATATCTGTAATTTGTTTACAAAATATACATTTGCTATGTATATCGACATAATCTATATGAATGAGTCTAATTAATTTGAAACCAAATCTTGTGTTGTGTTGTCTATCCTCTCCCAATTGGATAGAAGATGTTGAAATAGAGACATAAAGGATCTTCGTCCACCCTAATTTGTCCATATTTTATTTTCTAAAGATTTTGTCCAAAGCAAATCAGATTCACAAAACACACAATGGTCCACTAAACAGAGTGCATTTACTGCACATAAATCAATTTAATAATGGACACTCAACTGAAAACTATTAACAAATTGACCCTTTTGTCGAAAACAATTTATTTTTAAGAGAAACTTGGCACTACCTAGTAATAATGTATCTTAATAAATAAATAAGTAAACAAGATTACTAGTAAAATATATTATATATCAACGTAGTATTCATAATTTGAGCATAGTTTAAGGTTATCAAATTACTGTTTGGATTGAGATCAGTAGAGCATCAATGAACTATCATCAAAAATTATATTATATAGGGTAATTCAAAACGAAGAGTGTACCTCCCATAAGTTATTATTTTAAAATGAAGATCAAATTAATTGGTCTAACTTAGGGGACTGAATATATAATAACATCTCAATAAAGAAATAAAATAAATTAAAAATTAAAAAAAAAAGATAATATTGTGAGGTAAGTACTAAAATAAGAAGGAAAGTTCCACGTCATGAAAGAGTGGTCGCTGTCGGACTGAAAGAAACAGACCAAACAAAGATCTTTGAAATCTTAAAAAAAGATTCGGTGCCCAAAGATTTTGACCTTCAAGACACTAAAGATTTACTATAACTGCATGTGTTTTATTTTTTCTGACACTTGACCCAACTTAAGATTTTGTTTCCTCTTCAAAGATCTCACCAGCAACATCTGATCTTCCGTATCTCTCTCTCTACTGAAACCCCACCTCTTATATCTATGTCACTTTTTTCCCTTTCTTCCTCCATCACATCACATTGATTTCTGGAGTTTTCTTTCTTTCTCTTTAATCCTAAGCTTCTTCGTTTTCTTTAAAACCCAATCTTGCATTCTTTTCTGAGTTAGAGAAATGGCTGTTGGTGAGGTCATGAGGATGGAGATTCCCGCCGGTGGAGATTTGAGTGTTACTTCTCCTGAACTACATGTTCTAGCTGTTGACGATAGTATTGTGGATCGTAAAGTCATTGAGAGGTTGCTAAGAATCTCTTCTTGCAAAGGTAAAATAAATCTCCTGTCTCTCTGTTTTTAGGGTTTTGTTTCTTTGCCTAATATTCTCTGTTTTTATTTCAGTGACGACTGTAGAGAGTGGGACTAGAGCTTTGCAGTATCTTGGCTTAGATGGAAACACAAATGCTTCTGATCTTAAGGTACAAATTTGTTTGGTTACTGAGAAATCCTTAAGGAAAGAAAATATAATGAGACTTTATTTTAGTTAATTTGTTTTGGTAGTAATAAGATCTGCTTTTATTTTTGTTGTTGAAGTGTATTTTTTTGTGATCTTTCGTATAACAGGATTTGAAGGTGAATTTAATAGTGACCGATTACTCAATGCCAGGACTAACAGGATATGATCTTCTCAAGAAGATTAAGGTAATAATTAGTAATAGATTTTGATTTTCTCACAATATGAAAACAAATTTTGAATAAGTCTTCTCTTTTGACCAAAAAAAAAAAGAATAAGTCTTCTCTAATGATTTTAGCAAAAAAAAAAAGGGTTTCTCTAATGTTGAAACAAATATATTGATATGTGTAGGAATCTTCTGCGTTCAGAGAAATACCTGTAGTGATCATGTCATCTGAGAACATCTTAACTCGTATAGAACAGTAAGTGATTCTGTAAATGTGTAACAATACAAAGTAGATAATATTTTTGTATACACTGTGATCTAAATTAAGTGACTTATCCTCTCTATTTTTTTTTCAGATGTTTGAAGGAAGGAGCAGAGGATTTCCTGTTAAAACCAGTGAAGCTTGCAGATGTAAAGCGAATAAAACAACTTATAATGAGAAATGAAGCAGAGGAGTGCAAAACCTTAAGCCATTCTAACAAGAGAAAGCTTGGAGAAGATACTGATACATCATCACCATCATCTTCCTCGTCATCATCAAGTCATGATGATTCCTCCTCTGTCAATGACTTTCCATCTTCAAAACGGATGAAATCAGAATCTGAACAATTTTCTTCTTTCCTTTGAAGTACATAGAGCCAAGACCTTAGCTAGCATTGTCTGTTAATATTTCACATCTAAGTTTTTGTTCATGCCTTTTTGTTTTGTGGTCAATACAAAGACACTGTTTCTTGTTTTGTTAGCTTGTACGGACTAAGCTACTTCCTCCAGATTCTGTCGAGGTTTTGGTGTATACACATTGACTGTGTATGCAATTTCTCTCATGTAGTTTGTGAGATACCTGAGAACTTAGTCTTGCTCTCGCAACAGAGTTGAAGAGAGAATGATAAGAGGTTTACTCTAATATGTGAAACCAGGATGAAAGATCGTCAGAGACGATTACAGGAGCTAGAACCATTAACGATCCGAGACATTCCAAGTTTGTAGATTTATCTACATAAATCTTGGAGCCAAACGTTTTGAAAACTTTTTTGTGATAAAATTGTGACAAAATGTCCTCTTGGCCCAACATATCACATGCACGATAGACAACTTGTGAAATGTGTGGTTCCATATGCAATTGATGATCTGATTCATAAGCAAGAGATCGCATTAAAATATCATTAAACGGAAAATTGGAGTTTAGTAGATGATTTAAGGAATCAACATTTTTAGATTATTATATATAAGGGTCATAACATTTTAAATTTAAAAATGAATAGAAATATCTTTGAATCAATTATACACCATTCAAAAAATCAATTATTGATCCACCTTTTATAAATCAATTCTAAAATTTTCAGAAAATTTTATGAATTTAGAAAAAATTCTTAACCCGCCAGAACTCTTTAAACCCTTCAGAAAAATATAAACCTTTTAGAAAACAATTCTAAACCATTAAAATTCATTTCTTAACCCTTCAAAAATATATTTTGAACCCTTCAGAAATATTTATGACCGCTTCAGAAAATAATTTTGAACTCTTCAAAAACTGCTTGTAGTTGTTTATGAACACTTCAGAAAAATATTCTTAATACGTCAGAAAATTAATTTTGTATCCTTCAAAAAAATATTCGTATCCGTCATAAATCAATTCTAAACCCTTTAGAAACTATTTTGTACCCGTCAGAAATTAATTCTACATCCTTCAAAACTCAATTCTAAACCTTTAAGAAAATGTTAAAGCATAATCACTAAATCCTAAACTCAATTATTAAAATCCTAAAATACTATATATTATTATATAATGTAAAACTATACTGTATAAATATGAATTATGGTATTTGCGGGCCTTGTAAAAGGTATGGTGGTATGGAGCATCCTCCTCTTGAATGGGGTCTAGTTAAAGAGTTGGTCACAAGTCAGATAATCCCACCAAGTCTACACACGTATGGTTTAGGTTACATCAAATAGACAAGAGTTGATAAGTCTTTACCTTGCTCCTAAGAACATCTCTTTAAATTTCACATGTTTCATCAAGGAGCTTGAAATGTTTGCTAGGATCCATGGTTGATAAAGCTTGAAAAAATCAGCTTTCTACAGAGAAAATGAGTGGTTATTTTTTTTGTTAGGAAAACATGGTCTAGGCATGAGGAAAGAAGTCTTTGGTTCTCATTGGATGGCAAGAAAAAGCAGTGGAAGATTAATGGGGAAGTTGTCAACATTGTAGAAAATGAGGCAGCTAAGAGAATCATTGGTTTTAAAACCATTTACTCATTCAATCTGAGCCAGAGTGTTCATTAAAGGAGTAGCTGGAAAGTGGTAGAATACACTCTACCGTCAAGGTCAAAAGTGGGCTCTATGCATTGACAGAGCTAGATTTTTTAAAATCAGAGTCAAAGTTAATTAAAAGTTTTCATCACATAGCGATAGAAGAAATGCACAAAATTTTTACATGAATGATGCATCATCTATAGTGCATGAAATCTTAAATATTTTGAAGGACAATTGTTTATCATATCACAAAATCTCTAGCATTTTTGTAAACCATGTTAATCAACTAAAAAACCGGTAGAATGAACACTCAAAACTATGTAATAGCTTGTTAATCTTGTACTATATTTTATCTAATCAATGGAAATATTGAAAAAAAAAATACTTGGCTTAAGTTATCTTATCTAATTTTAATTATATTAAAATCTGAATTAATCAAAAATTATTTTAATATATCAAAAATGTAAAACTATAAAAACTATCCAGAATTAACATAGAGAAGAGTAGGGTTGGGCATTTTATCCGTTATATTTGATTCGATTCGTTATTCGTTTTGATTCGATCCGAAAATTCCGGATATCCGTAAACTTTCGAATCAAAGCAAATACTAAAATTCAATATCCGTTAAAATCGAAGCAAATCACAAATAGTAAAATTTTAGGAAGCGGATATCCGATCCGATCCGTAAATATATAAATATATATATATCTTGATTATATTTAACATTTTAAATGTATAAAATTATATAATTATTATTCTAGCATATGATTTTGAACAATTTTATTCAAATTATTATTTATATAAAAGTATTACATAAAAAGAAAGAAAGAAAATTATGACAATTATATTTTTTTTCTTAAATTTTGTGTTATTATAATTGTAACTTAAGCTTAAAAAAATTACAAAATATATAAATTCACTAGTTCTTTTAAGTTTTATTTTATATATCATGCAAAAAAATATTTTTGCAGAGCAAATTTGTATCAAAATCTTAAGATTATTTGTATTAATCAAAATGGATGAGATATCCGTAAATATTCGTAAATATCCGCAAATATCTATTTATTTTCCGGATATCCGTTTTTCCGGATATCCGTATTTTTTTGAAGCAAAGCAAATACCAAAATTAGATATCCGTAACATTCGAATCAAATCACAAATACCTTAAAAAACCCGGATATCCGATCCGTGCCCACCCCTAGAGAAGAGAAGTATATAATTATGAATTTCAATTATAACTTCTTGGTATGGTCAACAATTTATATAAAAGAAATAAACACAAATATATGATATCTAACTTTAGTTATTGTGTAGCTACAACTATTTATGGATTTTTCTTAAAAGTAAAATATATATTTTTATTTTTTTTAGATGGAATAACATGGATTACAAATTATATAGGGATCAGTAACAAATTTGTAATGGGATCAATGCTATAAACTTTATAAAAAACTATAGATAATTTAAATTAAGTGGGATCAACTGATCTTTACCTTCCAAGTACCTCTGCCCCTAGCTCTATGCAAACTACTTTACATTGTGAGCGATTCCTACTGTCCACCAAAACGGACTTCAGGAGATCATTATTATCCTCACCCCAAGTGTTACAGATTGAGGATATGCGTGAGTCTGATGAAAAGAGATTACAGAACAATTGAATCTTGTAAAATTCAGAAATAATTCCTGCAAAAATATCAAATGAAAACAAAAGAAAACGATGGAAAGCAAATTAGTTCTTATTTGTTTTTACCTTTATGTTAAACCATAATATCAATTGTATATAAGATATTTTGGAAGAATAAAACAAAAGATTGGGAGAATAAAAGCTTTATGAGAATATCTCGCATATGACAAAGAATTTGATGAATAACTAAATTACAATGATACAAAAAGTAATATAACATACAAAGTAAAGGCATTTTCAAAATAGCAATCATGTTATAATAGTGTCATGATCATAAAAGGAAAAATTATTTTCTAAAAGGTTTAAGAAGTTATTAGAAAAGTAGAGTAATTGGAAAGAAACTTATAAAGTCAAAATTAAACTGGAATTATATCAACGAAAAGAAAAATAACTGTTGAGTTGAAGTAAAAAATATTGTCATGAAAGATGAAATGAAGGATATACATTGAGTTGACAGAAGTGCGGTGAAATATGTGAAATGCTAGAAAATATAGTGAAGTGCAGTAAAAGAATTCAAGAAATTAAGTTCAAGAGGATTCTACTAGAAAGATTGTTAGAGCACCTCCATCAAGGGGTTCAGATGGGGGTTCACACGTTTTTTTTTTTAAAAAAAAATTAAAATAGTGAATAGTAATAAACCTGTCCCTTAAGAGTTCTCTGCAGTGAACCCGGTTTACTACTGTAGCGCGGGCCCAGGAACACGTGGCGACCCACGATTCGTCTATTTTTTTTAAAAAAAAAAATAAAAAAAAAATAGAAAAATTTTAATATTAAAAATTGAATCAATGAACCCCAAGAAGGGGTTCATTGATGTGAATGCTCTTACGGTGAACAGCAAATCTGATCATTTTTGGTTGCTCGAGAAAGATAAATCTATATATTTTATACTTATACCATTAGTGAAATCAATGAAACATTATTACTCTCTTTCATCTTTACAATCTCATTCTATCTCTCAACATTTTCTCCTCCATTCTTAATATCTTTCTAATCTCTCATCTAAATCTTCACTAAACCCTCTTATTCTCTTTGTTTAGCTAATCTACTCTCACATATCTCATAAATTTATAGTAACCTAAATAAATTAGGTTTCAAAGATCCTAGACTAAACAGTGTAGCCCTATAAATACCCCGCCCATATTATATTCTACAATTCATCACTGCAATCAAACAGAACAAAGCAAAAAACCTAAGAAACTAGATATCGTTTTTCATTATGAGAGGCGACCTGTATTTCAGGCATGAGATCGACCGTAACCCTTCAGCCTAGGATGCTGGCACAATCAAAGCATGCGCAGCCATGGTCACATGGCACGAGGACATGAAAGATTCTGAAAGAACATTCTCGTTTACGTGGTTGGCGGAGGACTTCACCGTAGGCCAAGGACTTGCCAGTAAATTACAACATGGAAGCATGTTTCCCTCAAGAAGAGACTTTGCTTTTATTGACTGAAGAAGCCAATCATTGTGTCATTGAATTGACTTCGTGATTATAGCAGAGATTGTGCTCTGTCTCTGTGGTTTACTTTGTGTTTGGCTTCTTCCACCTTCAGTTGATGAATTTGAGGATGATGATGATGAGGCTACCAATAGTAATATTCCAATCAGGGTGGTAAGGAAGCTCGTGGTCATGTCCTTAACCAAGAAAATATACAACAAAGGTGTCTCTCTCGTCAATCACAGTTGCACTATTTGATGATACCCTGTGGACATGAGTTTGATGATGCATGTATCGCACACTGGTTCGCGACCGATCACATTTGTCCATTGTGTCAGCTTCGAGTTGCCTCGTGAGCATCATTGAAAATATTGAAAATTAGGTGATTCAGTTTTTATACAGTATGTTGTCAAAAATAAAACATTGTTAAATGTTTTCATATTTTCGCTTTTTTCTTCCCGTAACACTATGCACCTGGTTCGATTTCACTATATAATGGAATGCATCCACTATTCTGCGGCTTTTGTCAACCATGATGCTCATAAAAAAAAAGTTGTTACGTGAACTTAAGGAAAAGCTCATTCATTTTTTTTAGATGAGTCTTGTCGTAAGATGAGGAACATCAACTGAAATTGTTAGTTAAGGTTTTGCCTCCATCACCCAAATTATGTTAACCATGCTTCTTTTACATAACTGCGTTTTAAATTCGTTATTCTATTCGTTATTCTATTCGTTATTCTACAATTTTAATAGAACTAACAAAGACCTTTTACTAAAATTAACGGTATATTTAAAACAAACAAGAAAACACACTTGATTTTATGATATTTTCAAGGTGTTTCTCAAACTCTCCAAATCACAAATATGTTTAAAAATGATTCAAACACTAAGTCGTTTACTATGGTATATTTGCACGATTATAAAATGAATTAAAAGGTGAGCAATTCAAATTTACAAGAACAAAAAAAAATTAAATTTAATAACATGAATACAAAAAAGCCAAATGAATAGTTTCAAAATTTACAAGGAGAATTAAAATGTTCAATGTTTGTTTGTGGTTTTGTGATACTTGTCCTTGACCCAACGAAAACCAACGGCAGAACCAGTCTTGAGCTTTTTAAAACCCGAAGAAGCCACAGCTTTTGTCTTGTCTAGTCCATGTCCAAATTTCTCCTTGTACTTAGCCGTGTTTGAGTTCGACGGACTTCCACCTCCTCCACCGCTTCTGACGACGGCGGTGCTGCTGTTGTCCCACTGGTCAGCCCACGATGCTCCGTTCATTATGAATAGTATCCTTTTTAAAAAGCTTTAAATCAGAAAGGAATTGGTTTTTTTTTGTATGTGATCAAAGTGAAAATTGATTTCAAGTTTGTGTTTGTTTCTAGTTTCCTCTGTTGTGTTTATATACACAAACATGTCATACTCCAAACCGTGTTTCTGTGGTCAAACCTTGTGTTCGTGAACAATAAGGACTTCTTTTGATTTGCTTATTTTTTCTAATAGTCAACCATCTTTTGGAAGCTTCGTTGCAAGGTTAAATGTTTGTTTTATAGATCAGGACCGAGGTATCTACTGAGGAAGCTTCTTCAAATTATCCCCAAGCAAAAGAAATTTTATCAACTGCAACGTTTTCTTCTCTGAAATCTGAATGGTAAAACCTGCGCCAACAAAGGACCAAATAAAAAGATGTTCAGGAGAATATTGAGTGTTTATTAAGATGTAGTTCTCTACACAATTGATTTAGCGAGGACTCCGCTACAAGAACTCAGGAAAATCAAATAAAATAAAAGTGGGTACATATCATCTGTTATGTAAGCTATTAATTTTTTTTTTATATTTCAACTTAATTTATTGAGTTTGGTTGTAAATTTTATTATAATAACAGTATATGTTCAGTTTCCTTTTTTTTAACTATAATTTTGTTAAAAAAATATTTTCAATCGTTGTGTGGGTGGGAATCTTGTATACTTTAAATTACAAGTTGAATAAAACTGGATTTGAAAGAGCATTGTAAATTTTATGTTTAAATAATAGATGATCTATTATTTTAATTTTATAAAATTACTTTAAATTTCAGATTGAATAAACCACCCAAAAAAACATCCAACTACAACGAATTTTAGCTTTGGGTCTCAATCGGAAATAAAATTATTATATAATGACAACCGTAGCAACTATAAATTGTGATATTTTAACTTAGAGCATGTTTATCAATGACTCTTGATCAGATATCTTACACTATTTACAATTAAAAATAAAAGAAAAAAAGAAGAAACACACAAGGAATGTGTGTTAATTAAGGAGATAATTTGCTAATACACCTCAAATGAGGATTTATATTAGCGGATTACCCATGATGTGACACATTTATTTTACATGACGAAATTGCCATTTTCTCTCTGTCTCCCTCTCTCCTCTTACACTCCTAGTCTAGATGTGCCAGCTTCTTTAATTTCTGAAACAACTTTTTTAACTCTCTTTCTCCCTTATCTCTTTTAATTTATTCTCTTTCCCTCATTTCCTTTTAAATCTCATGTATGTTTCGTTATTGTTTTTTCTAGTTTTATCTCATTTGTTTTTCTAATTATGTTCATTTCTATGTTTTCTAGTGTTATTCGGTTTAAAGAAAATATTATATCTATGTGTTAAAGTTACAGCTGAAACATTTATTAAGGCATTACAAATAACATTGAGCTTGATATCAAATAAGTATCTTAACATATAGTTTATAGAGTTACCATTTGTGACATGTTAACCAATTTTTGTATCTTGTGTTAACTGTTAACAAATACATGTACCAAATGTAATAACAAAGACATTAACAGTTAACAAATTTTGTAGATGTTAACAGATGTGTTAGTTGTTAACAAATACATTTACCAGATGTATTAACAGAAACAGTAACTGTTAACAATTTCTGTAGCTGTTAACATTTGTGTTAGCTGTTCAAAAAACATATACTATAAGTGTTATCAGATGTGTTAACTGTTAATAAATTCGTAGATGTCAATACATGCGTTGTGTATTATAAGTAAAAAAATTTATATTGTTGAAGTTTCAATTTCTCTATCGAACTGAGTGAATTCAAAAAGAAAAGAAGTGGAAATAAAAAAAGAGTATGTTATCGTTGAGAAAAAATGAAGAAAAAAAAAACATGTGAGAGAGGAAAATGAATGTTAACGAATGAAAAAAAAAAGAGTGAGAGAGAATGTCAGAAAAAGAAAAAGAATCCGTGAGAAGATAAAGAGAAATTTAATGCTTTACAAGGTTATTTTAGGCAAAACAAGTTTTAATTGTAGTGTTTTGACTTATAATGTCAAATCATGGGTAAAACTCTAATTATAACTCCAAATATGGGTATTTCACTAAATCACTCTTAATTAAGAGTACCAAACAACGTTTCTTACGACATGTGTCACAAATCAGTTGACTAGGGAAGTGATGGGTGGTTGTTTCTGCCTCATTTCTTCTTTTCTTTCTCTCTCTTTCTTTCTTCCCTCTTTTCTTTTACGTTTTTATGTTTTTTCTTAAAAAATTTATTGACTAAGAATTCATGTAAGAGTTTATCCCAATAAACATGATCTTAGGATTCATGCTTATACATTTTGAAGAACATATTATTTTTAAATACTTTGTTTTGGTTCAAATGCTTTGGAGGCCCACAAGGAAAAGTACATTGACATCTATAGTACTCAGGACTACCTCCCGAGCGATCACAGAAAGCAGTTGCAAGATTTCCATAATTGTTGAAGCACTTGATTCTGCAATGGACGCAATTGACTCCAATAACCGCCACACATGATCCTTCCACATTCTGCGAAACTATATCATGCAAGGTCGGTTTTAACTTCAAGTAAATAAAATTTGCTTAGACTTTTTTTTTGCTTAATAAGTTGTTCAGAATTGAGAGATATCAAAACCCGGAACTATAACATAACATCATATATTAGCCAATGAAGAAAAAAATACAGTAATTAATTTTCGAATATTTCTATGAGTAAATCACAATAGTAAATATAGTTGATATAAATTACAAGTCTACAACGTTTGAAGCATCATGTACCAACGATTTGTACTGAAAATAGAAAATGTTGAATATATATTTTGAATAAAACTTTAGATAAATGTATACCTGAAAGAAACAACACAAGGAAGATAATGGGGACAAGAAGTGAAGAAGTCGTTTTAGCCATCTTTGTTTTTTTTTTCTCTATTAATTTGTGTTACTAGTATTGAATAGAATACTGATAGATCTTTCAAATAAAGAGACTATGAAAATTTATAGAATATATAGGTGACCAAACTTTTAAAAACTCAATGCATTTAGTGTCACAAATATTTCTTTTCTTTTACACATATTGGCTTATTTTTTTACAGATATATTTTTCCTTTCAAAGATTTGTTTCACTTAACCACATATTGAATCCACATATTTGTTTCTTTTTATCCCATCTACTCTATTAACATAGAGTCACTCTAAAAAAATATTATATAAGAGTCATAGTTGGACCATTTAGTTAATAGTTTAACAATTAAACCTAAATATATTCATATATTAGTTTTGGGATAAATGTAAATAAGACTAATATTTCAATAAAATATTAAGAAAAGATTTCTTTCTAAATTTAAAAGATTTTATGTATTTTCGTATTAATTTTGGAATGAAATAATAGACCCCAAATCGAATTAAAATTTATATATTAATTTCTTATATAAAAACACAATGATTTATCTTGTCTATGATTTTATATACATTTTTTGTTGTAATTAAGAAAATACAAGACTTATGTATAATTTATTAAATAAATTATTATTTTGAAAATATAGTATTAACTAATTTAATTTAGTCATATATCAAAATTTCGAAAATACAAATTTTCAAAAAACAATTCTGATAAATTAAAAATAATTCCAATGAAATTAATGTTTAAAATTAAACTTTTTAATATGCTGTTACATTTTAAAAACAATAACAAGTGGATAATATGAATAGTAAAATTCCATCAATAAAATTTCAGTAAATATAAAATTTTCCAACTAATATTATATACAAAAAGCAAAATTAACATATAACATCTATCTTTATAAATTATTTCATATTTTAATATTACTTTAAGAATAAAGATATATCCATGCGGATGCGTGGATTTAACTATAGTATTTATTATTTTTGATAAAATTATCCCGAAAAAAATTTGACTAAAAATTATTTATTTATGACAGATTTATATGATTTCTCACATTTTTTTTCTTTTTACCACATATTTATTCACTTCCAAGGCATATTTAGTTTCGACATATTTTTTTACTTATCCCATATTTACAATCCAACATATAATGGTAATAGAAAAAATAAAATTTATTGATATGAAAATATAATTTCTTTTCGCTTTTAATAACTTATGAAAGTTATTTCTGTTTATTTTAGATGTAACATTTAATTTTATATTAAGTTTTAAAATATTTTTGAAGGTTCAAAAAGTAAAAATGACATAGTAAATAATATTTTTAATTTTCATATATATATATATATATATATATATATATATTCAAATTTGATTGTTAAATAATACTAAGCAAGCAAAATAATATTCAAATTAAATGAAATGTATTATTTACATAAATTTAGAATTAATAATATTTATAAAATATGGATAGTATCAATTACCAAAAATATAGAAAAAAATGTTTAGTTTAAATAAATAATATAGCTATTAAAATTAAATGTCAATGGCATAGCAATATAAATAACTTAAAAAAGTAAGGACATAATACTAATAGGGATTCTGCTTTAATAGTATAGATTTTGTTAAAAAATATTTTCAATCGTTGCGTGGGCGGGAATCTTGTACATTTTAAATTACAAGCTGAATAAAACTGGATATGAAAGAGCATTGTAAATTTTTATGTTTAAATAATAGATGATCTATTATTTTATAAAATTACTTTAAATTTCAGATTGAATAAACCACCCACAGGCCACAATTACAACGAGTTTTAGCTTTGGGTCCCAATCTGAAATAAAATTATTATATAATGACAACCGTGGCAACTATAAATTGTGATATTTTAACTTAGGATTTATGTTTATACATTTTTTTTTTTATAATCCAGGGGTGATGTTTATACATTTTGAAGAAGATATTATTTTAAAATACTTTGTTTTGGTTCAAATGCTTTGGAGGCCCACAAGGAAAGGTACATTGACATCTATAGTACTCAGGGCTACCTCCCGAGCGATCACAGGAGGCAGTTGCAAGATTTCCATAATTGTTGAAGCACTTGATTCTGCAATTGACGCAATTGACTCCAATAACTGCCACACATGATCCTTCCACATTCTGCGAAACTATATCATGCAAGGTCGGTTTTAACTTCAAGTAAATAAAATTTGCTTAGACTTTTTTTTTGCTTAATAAGTTGTTCAGAATTGAGAGATATCAAAACCCGGAACTATAACATAAGATCATATATTAGCTAATGAAGAAAGAATACAGTAATTAATTTTCGAATATTTCTATGAGTAAATCACAAAAGTAAATATTGTTAATATAAATTACAAATCTACAACGTTTGAAGCATGTACCAACGATTTGAACTGAAAATAGAAAATGTTGAATCTATATTTTTGAACAAAACTTTAGATAAATGTAGAATGTATACCTGAAAGAAACAACATAAGGAAGATGATGGGAACAGCAAGTGAAGAAGTCGTTTTAGCCATCTTTGTTTTTTTTCTCTATTAATTTGTGTTACTAGTATTGAATAGAATACTGATAGATCTTTCAAATGAAGAGACTATGAAAAGCTATAGAATATATAGGTGACTAAACTTTTAGAAAATCAATGTATTTAGTGTCCCAAATATTTCTTTTCGTTTACACATATTGACTTATTTTCTTACAGTTATATTTTTCCTTTCAAAGATTTGTTTCACTTAACCACATATTGAATCCACATATTTGTTTCTTTTTATCCCATTTACTCTATTAAAATAGAATCACTCTACAAAAATATTATATAAGAGTCATCGTTGGACCATTTTATTAATAGTTTAACAATTAAACCTAAATATGTTCATATATTATTTTTGGGATAAATGTAAATAAGATTAATATCTCAATAAAATATTAAGAAAATGTTTCTTTCTAAATCTTAATAGGTTTATGTGTGTTTTGGTATTAATTTTGGAATGAAATAATAGATCCCAAACAAATTAGAATTTATATATTAATTTCTTATATAAACATACAATAATTTATCTTGTCTATGATTTTATATATGATTTTTATGGTAATTAAGAAAATACAAGACTTATGTATTATTTATTAAATAAAAAATTATTTTGAAAATATAGGTTAACTAATTTAATTTAGTCATATATCAAAATTTCCAAAATAATATTTTTTTGATAAAATGAAGAATAATTTCAATGAAATTAATGTTTAAAATTAAAATTTTTAATATGCTGTTACCTTTTAAAAACAAAAACAAGTGGATAATATGAATAGTAAAATTTCATCAAAAACAAATTTCCAACTAATATTATATACAAAAACCGAAAATAATAATTAACATCTATCTTTATAAATTATATTATATTTTAAATATTACTTTAAGAATAAAAATATATCCATGAGGATGCATGGATTTAACTATAATATTTATTAATTTTGAAAAACTTATTCTAAACAAATTTTGACCAAACATATATATATTTATGACAAATTTATTTGGTTTCTCACATTTTTTTTCTTTTTTACCACATATTTATTTATTTATTTATTTCCAAGACATATTTAGCTTCGACATATTTGTTTACTTTGGCCCATATTTACATCCAACATATACAAGGGAGAATCTATATCGGTTTTGGGTGGGACAGTTGCTTCCATGATTATGTGAAAGTGAATGTAATTATTCAAAAAATTTTATGTTGTCCTTTATGATGGATTATCTTATGCTCTGCTTCCCTGGATGAAAAGGGATTTTCTAGCACCGCAGCCAGAGCCGGGCCTGTAAAATTTGGAGCCCATACTATCTTTTGACCCTATACATTAAAAAAAAGTATTTAGCCACAAAAATATATCCAATACTCCAAAACGTGTTTCTGTGGTCAAACATTGTGTTCGTGAACAACAATGAATTCTCTTGATTTGCTTCTTTTTTTATTTATTTTATGTAGACTATCAACCATCTTTTGGAAGCTTCGCTGGAAGGTTAAAACAGTATTCTAACGTTAGTATGTTTCGTTTATTGAGGGAAGAAGCTTCTTCAAGTTCTCCCCCAAGCAAGAGAAACCAACCCAGAAAAAACGAATGCGTAAAGGAATCATCTAAGTCAACGACTCAAAATTAGCCTTTTCCATTAGTCTATAACCTCTGACAGTGTGTATTGATGTTAACAATCTTACTAATTCAGGTAACTTCTCTAATCAACCATCCAGAGAGTTCAAACGCAACTGATGATAGGACTTTCCAAGGTTACTTGTGACTCAAGAAACATCATCATTTTGGTTCTCCTGCAACACTTTCTTCTCTGTGAATGGTAAAAGCTGCGCCAACAAAAGAAACCAAATAAAATAGATGTCAAAATATTGCTGTCACAGCTAGAAGAAACAAACAATGGATACTTTACTTAGTTTTAGATTTACTAACCTGACGAGCGACCTGAGCAACACGACGACTATCACGAGATGATTCAGTGTTGAAGGAGTCCAAGAACACGTCTTTCTCTCCAGTCTTTTGTCTTCTGTTTCTGCTCTCATCGTCTTGCGAAGAAGAGCTTCCTCCTTCAGGGCTACTGCTTCCGCTTCTTGCATCCTTCTTACGCTTTCTCTTGACTGTGAACTGGACACACTGTTTCTCTGAAGGCGTCACAGATGTAGTGAATAGCTCCATATCATTCTCCTTCTCCTCCTCTCTTCTTACTTCTGTTTTAAATGACGTCAATGACTCCACATCAGGTAAATCTCCTTTCTCTAACGCCTCAGCTTCTCTGTGTCTAGTTAGTATGGAGGGAAGAGGATGGTGGCAAGGATCTTTATTCTCTTTATAAGAACACCTGTTGATACTGTTATCTCTGTCACTCAAGTGTGGTTTGATTCCACTAGCTACTGTTGGTCTCTCGTGGTTACTAGAGTCCTCACACGCTAAAGAAACTACTTCGTTTAGCTTGTTTTCCTCGTTGCTTTGACGACTTTTTGTCAATTTCTCGAGTTGGTAACGAGACTCTCGCAGCTCCATCCTTAGCTCTCCTACTATATCTTCAGCTTCTCCAAGTTGAGCTTCAAGTTCTTCAATCTTTTGCTGCTTGGTTAAATACATCACTTCTGCCTCTTTGACCTGTATAATCATCACAAGTATCTGTGAAGTCCATCTTCAAGAAGATGTGCTACAATATCAAGTCAAACAGCTTTTATCAACCAGTGATTTACACAACTATATTGAAGAACAGCTTCTCACACTTGTGTTTTCCATCAACAATCAAATTTATGGCAGATTCACACAAGTTTTTGCACATTGGGTTTCTCACTACCATGAGATAAAGGAATGGCATCATGAACTACTATAGATTTTATAGAGAGTGTGAATTCTATTTAAAATCAGATATGATATACTTCAATGGTTAAGAAAATACAAAAATCAATTAAAGTACATAAGAGAAATCATTCCACAAGAACCATTCTCAATAACACTTTCAATGATGTAAATAAAGCTCAGAAATGTCAAAAAGGTTTGATCAATCAAATCCATCTGATAGAAGTGAGAACAAGCAAAGAACTCATTAAAAAACAGCTAAGAATAATAAAAGTTGTAAGAATCAGCATTGTAACTATTATTACCTTGGAATCATACATCTGTTTAAGCCTAAGACAAGTACGGACAGCCTCATCTCTAACCGCCACAAGCTCTTGCTGATAACCACGAGCTCTCCTCTCTGAAATCATCACACGTGCCGCAGCTTCCTTGGCCGTGTTAAGTATCGTATCCGCGTAAGCCTTCTTCAATGCTGTTAATCTCTGCTTAAATAAAAATTGAACCATTCATTAAGACAGGACAAAACCCACATCACGAAAAACACTGATTCAGATCAAAACATATGAATCCATAAACTAAAATCAGACACAAATAAAATCATTTCGTAAAGAGAAACGAAACCTAAGAGAAACAGAGAAGTTTTGTTTTTGTTTTTTTATTCAATTTCGGATAAGAGTTATTAGGGTTTAAAGATTGGATTTTTTTTACCTCAGGGTCAGTCATTAGGTCTGCTGAGAATGCGGTTACGGAGAGGCTATTGTTTCTCTCTCGACAGAAGTCGCGATGAAGAAAGGAACGAAGACCCAAAAAAAAAGTGGTTTTTTTTTTCTTCGTGCCCTTTGTGTTTGTTTTGCTTTTTGCTTTCCAGAATCTGTCTGTTAGGAACTGAAAGTGATTGTAATTACTGTCTTACCCTTTTCCATTAAAACGACGATGCGGTTTGGTTTCCCGGTTCGACCGTCGCTATTTCCACCGTAAAATGAAAAGAAAAACTAGAAAACCAATCAAAATTCTATAAAGTGCAATTCTCTCAAATATAGTTTTTAATTTTTTTATTACAAACTAAAAATCAAAATGAGCAAAATAATATTTTTTATTTTGCAAAATTTAATCTTTTTTATTTTTTAAAATTGAAAATTTTATCCCTAAAATCTAACTCTTCAACTCTATACAAAACAGTTTATAATTAGTTAATCCAAAGAGTATAAGTGTATATTTACTTATTTTCGATATAACATTTAAGTTTATTTTGGTTATTTTTATTTTTAAGTTCTATATTTGTAACAAAAAAAATTTAGGTCTATTTTAGTAAATTTATTTTCTATAAACTATATACTATTTTTCGAATGTGTTTACAAAAAATTTATAAAGATTATACTAATACTCACATGATTAATTTCTTAGTTGAATTTTTCATTTATACAGTTGGACAAGACATATATATATTTTAGACAAGTCAATTATTTAAATTCTAAAGAAAATTTAAGAAATTAACACTTGTTTAAGTTTATCCAAAAAATAGCATTCAATGATGGAAATTTATAAAATAGCATTCATTTGATAAGAAAACATTAAATTATTCTAACTTGTAATCACATCTTCATTTTGTTAATAATTATCATCATTAAAAGTAACTTTTAATATTTAATGTAAATTTGAGAGAAGTTGTTAATTTGTATGCTAATTGTTGTGAAATATGATTTATTGCTATGTAAAGGTATTTTCATTAGTTTATTGTTTTGTAATCTGAACCAATGCTAACAATGATCAAACTTCTTATTACAAAAAAAAAAAGAAAAAAGATAATTTTATTGGGGAATGAGAATACTGTAAGAACTGAGCGAACGAATGATCCAAAACAAGAAACCTTTGCTCCTAAGAGCCTTCGTGTATTAATGGATTGAAGGCATAAATGTGTTTCTACCTGCTACGCGGAAGGTGGTGCATGCATGAGTAGATATTTCAAGGTAGTTTTAGTATCTCATTTCAGCCATTCATTTTTATGCTATTAGCATCCAACGGTTCTTATTTCTTTTAGCATACAACAACCACTTACTTTATATTCAAAAAAACAAAACACAAGTTTGATAGGTTTTGTTTTCTGAATGTTAGTTAGGATGACCACACTACATCAGCCTGAATAACACTTATTGATGAGTATTTAGATTGTCTTAAGAGGTAAAGTCTACTCGACTGCTAATCCAATATAAAAATTCTCGCATAATAATTTACTCTTATCTTTAGACGCTTAGGATACTTTTGAGAATAAGCAACTTTTTTTTGTGCTATAGCCCATTCATATTATATGGTAACATGTGGTAGACATATATAAAATGGTTTCATAGTCATTTTGACAAGTGTAATAGGTTTAAAATAAATCCTAAAACTTGGTATGAGTCATTGTTGTCTTGCTGTTGTGTGTTTGTGGAACAACCTATTTTCTTATGATGTATTCTCTGAAACTCATAATAGGGCTTGGGCTTGTCAAATGGGAAGTGGAACATCATCACTTAATTTCATGTTTGCACAGATATTGTTTCTGCTTAGTGCAATAATGTGCTCACTCATGATCCACACTCTCCTAAAATTTAGACTTAAAGAAAAGTCACAAACTCATGCAAATTGGCTAAAGCGAAATTAAAAGGAAAAACGTCTTCTTTTCAATGGCTTTAAACAATTTTTTAACTTCGTCTGCGTGTGAAACCAAGAAAAGGTATGATGGTGGCTTTCATTCCTGGCCAATATTTGTGCTTTTCCTTTCCTTTTCTCTTTTCCATGAAAAAACTTTGATTAATAATTAGTTAGGAGATTTATTTGTATATTTTTTAACATCCATGTTGTTGAACCCCAAGTTTAAACTTGAATGGGATGATCTTGACAGCAGGGGTTGAAGTAAAAACCACCAGAATAAAAGTAAAACTCTTTGTAGAAATGCTTCTATTTGGTTTAGAACAGTAATTGATGGAAAATAACGTTTTAGAACAAAAACGTGTTAATAACTCACTGATAACTAGTTAAAACATAGTACTATTTTACTCTTTATGAAAAATGCATAATGTTTTTAACTTTTTATTACTCTTTTCATTTTCATACATAGTGTTAACGCATTTTATATATTTTATATTTTAGTAGTTAGTACAGTGAAAATAGACTTACATCATTAGGGACTCCAACATTGTGAAGTCTTATGAGCACTAAAACTGCATACAAAATTTAAAACGAGAGAAATAATTCCTATGCAAATTTATATTTTATACAATTGATAAAAGTCAACACCTATTAAGCACCATTCTCCAGAAGTTTTGAGTCAATTTCTTTCTTCATTGTGTTTGAAAGAATGTAGTTAAACTACAGTTTGTATAAGTTTTTTCTCTAAGGTAATATTCATAAATTCGGTTCTCAAGAAAATCTGTTAACACTTGATTAATTAGTCCATTTAATCGATTATTAGTCTTAACGTGTGAATCCATAGTTTAGTGTGTGATATGAGGAGATTCTTATTTTGATCATTCCTCTAATCCATCATTAAATATAGTTTAAGTACACAACTTGCAAGATAAGTTGCAACTTAAAAATGCAATTGATGGGCAACACAGGAAAAGAATGGATACATTTTAAAGTAGATGAAGATATCATGTGCGTCCAATGGCCCCATTTTGTCATCAAAATATTTTGATGCCGCAAATTGGAATATTCTTCTCATCAGTTTATCATCCATTTAATTCTAACCAGAAGTAAATTGTTGCGTAAAGATTTCAATATATATCTCTGGACAAATGTTTCAATCAAAGAGATTGGAGAGGCTTTACTTTTGAACATGAGGATGGGACTAAGAAAAATTATTCTTCTAACGGATTGAGTTTTTCAAGGCAACAAATCACACAAGCAACACAGAGTTAACTTAAACAAGAAATGATTTTAAAAGGTAAATCACGTTGGAGTTAATTGGAAATCGCACCGAGTTGACCAGATTCGTTTAATACTTACAAGTAACATCAAATTATAAAAGATTACTTTAAAAAGTTGAATATTATTATATGAAACAGTGAAAAAACCGGCAAATTTTCATTTTGTCAAACCATACATCAGAAAATAATGGCTATGAATAAAACACGTTTATATTGTTTATACAATTTAAAATATTTAGAAACTACCATTCAAAATCAAAATTAATCTCTAATACATAGTTTCATGCGCCTTTACTAACATTTCTCATTTTTATAACTAAACTGTAATAAAATAAATGAAGAATTTTCACTAGAAAAAACAGTACTTAAGTGAGAGCGACGTATGGACAAGAGGCCCGAGACACATTCAATCTGATTAAACAAAAAAAGAAACTTTCAATTAAAATGACCAAAGAGAGAGAATATATCCAAACTAAAATAAATAAATCCAAAAGAAAATACGGTAGAAAAAATAGAGAGACACGCAGGTCACTCACGGAACAAACGACAAACAAATCATAACCCGACACGTACACCACTGTTGTAATTTGGTTGAGAACCAAGCCACGTGGCTTCCGACACGTTTATAAAAATAAACAGAAGTCGCCCAGATCCACTCACACCTCGTCTCCTTATTCGTACGGTTCTAAAAGAGATTGAAAGTTTGTAATAAAAAAAAAAAACCAAAACAGACGCAAAGGGCATAACCGTAAAAAAAGCATTCCAAAATGGCCGCCGTGAGTAGCTCGTCGGAGACAGGAGGAGGCGTGGAGAGAGGAGAGATCATGTTGTTCGGAGTTAGAGTTGTGGTTGATCCGATGAGAAAGTGTGTGAGTTTGAACAATCTCTCTGATTACGAGAAGTCTTCTCCTCTTGAGGAAGAGATCCCTAAGATCGGAGACGGTGAAGATAAGAACGAATCCGCCGTCGCCGCCGGTTACGCCTCCGCTAATGAAACTCTCCAGATTCCGTCTTCTTCCGGTGGAAACCGTGAGAGGAAGAGAGGTAATACTCTCTTCTGATTAAAGCATCAGATTCGGATGATTGTGATTAAATCTATGCATGTTAGATAATCTGATTAGGAAGCTAATCTAATGTTATTGTTTGGACAAGAACAGGAATAGCATGGACTGAAGAGGAGCACAAGAGGTTCTTGCTTGGTCTGCAGAAAGTAGGGAAAGGAGATTGGAAAGGGATTTCTAGGAACTTTGTTAAGAGCAGGACTCCTACTCAGGTAGCTAGTCATGCTCAGAAGTACTTTCTCCGCCGGACAAATCTTAATCGTCGCCGGAGAAGATCTAGTCTTTTTGACATCACAACCGAGACGGTAAGAGTCTAATCTAATCCTTAAATCAATTTAATTAAACTAAAGCAGAAGATGATTTATTTCCTAAGTGTAGTGTTTTAGATTGGGGATAGACTCTGCTTTCTGAAAGTTGTTTCCTTTCTTACTCAATATTAATTACTAAAGTTTCCTTTTTTAACAATTTGTTATCTAGAGTCTATTAGAGAGAGAAGTTTGTTTTTAGTATTTCCTCTTTAGAACTAAAAGATCAAATGAAGTGTCAGAATGGTTTTGTTCAAATTGGGAATATATGTCTCAGACTGTGTTAGAAGATGAAGAATTTAGTTTTATAAGTGGATACCAAACATAAGTGTGTAACATTTAGGTGTGATTTGGTTTTATCAGGTCACAGGAATGCACATGGAGCAAGATCAAGACAACTCGTCACTACCTGAAACTAACATCAACTCTGGACATCATCAAGTGATGCAAGTTCTTCCTGAAGTTTCAGTGCCAACAAGAACTGAGACGGTCCCAGTAACCTTCCAAGCAAATCCTCAGTTCAATCTAAACACAGAGGCTGCAGTTCCTGCTCCGCTTTCTCTCAACCTTTCTCTATCTTTTAACCTCAACGAACAATCCAACTCAAGACGTTCGGCTTTCACTATGCTGCCAAGCTTCAGTGATGGAGATAGCAACAGCAGTATCATCAGAGTTGCTTAGACTTAAAAGCCAAGGTGAATCTACAAGACCTTGCTTCTTTCTCTGTCTCTCTGTTCTTGTAGTACATGTTAGGTTTAAAGTCTGTCTTTTTTTATCTTTCTTTAGGGCTTACTCTTGTGAAACTGTTATGTAAAAATAATCAGGGGATAAAAGAACAATAACAACAGAGGAAGGGGGCTTTTAGAGATGGGACGAACTGTGTTTAGGGGTTCTTCATCATCTATGTTTTGTATTGTTTGTTTGTTTGTAAAACTCTGCTATGTTTGTGATTTGTTTTGTTGTGGTATGTAAGTTAAAAGAAAGTTGTGCCTCTCATGTGGCCCATCTCAATCAATGGTTGGTGATTTGTGGGGTGCTTTTATATTATCTTATCTTTTGGGGATAAGCTAAAATGTATGTATGTGGTTCATCGAATATCTTATCATCATTACCTTTAATGCCATAATAATAATGTAATGTTGCCACTTTGACTTTTTGATGGATTTTTTGTTTTCTTATAGATGATAGTTAGGTGTGTAGTTAAGTCTATTTTTGCTTCCATAGATATCTCTGAAAAAATCGAGAAAGCAGATCATGAAATTATAAACCATTCTAAATTTGCCAGTTTATAGTTTCAACCTTAGTTCAATTTTATCCATTCCTAAAATAGAAACATAAATAATAATAAGGGTCATAACTTCACCTCTGTTTTTCTTCTCTGCCACCATCTCAAACCTTCATGCCACCTTATCATTTTCTCAATTCTTGCTCCTGCTAATTGTCTTTGTCGTTGCTTCTATCTTCATGATCTCATTTTGCAATGATAACAAATGTCAAACGGTTCCTTTAAGAACATTCACACAGACACACACTCTTTAATCTACGTTATCCTTGTTTGAATCATCATCCTCTTCATCGATGGATTCTCATTCAGTCAAAGAACTTTGAATTTATCCCACGTCAAATACTTAGAACTGCCTGAGTATGAAGACACTGTTAACACAAAAGGATCCTTTGTATTCTTTGGGGTTCCTCTTTCTAATTTGACTCAGATTAGTCCAAGATATCATTGATCATAATGGCTAGGAGAGTGAAAAGTATTGGATGGAGATTCGATTAACTTCATCATTTAAAGAGACATGTTAGATTGAATATGAACTAATTGATGGATTTGTATATGGAGTTAGATGAAGAGAGGAATGCTTCAGCTTTCAGCTGTTACAGCAAACAATGCATTGGCTATGATCACTAGGATTCAAGCTGAGAAATCTGCGGTTCAAATGGAGGCATTGCAGTATCAGCGAATGATGGATGAGCAGACAGAATATAATCAAGAAGCTTTGCAGACTGTGAATGATATGTTGGTTAAGAGAGAAGAGGAGATGAAAGAGCTTGAAGCTGAAACTGAAGGTTGTAGATTGAGATATGGATTATTGAAGAAGATGCCAAGGAAGAGAAGCAGAAGAGTTTCTCGTTGAAGCAAACGATGAAACTAAACCTGTCTGTACTTCAAATCATGTAACACGTCAAAAGAGGTTTTGCCAAAGACAAAAGACTATATACTTGCAAAACAGAGGATACTCTGTTTTATCATTAAGACTGATAATGCAACTGTGAACAACCTCAAGTCCAAGTTTGCTTTTTGAATCTTTTTGATTTATGTTTTCTGAAATAACTTTCTCAACTCGATTTTATATCAATAATCATCTACACTCATGTGTAACAATATGTAATGATAAATAAACATTAATAAGATTTCTTGAACCAAAAACAACATTAATAAGATTCATCTCTTTCTCTATATTTTTGCTTCTCTATTATATTAAAGCAACTGTATCTTTATTACATTGTTTCTTTATTTAATAGTTTGAAACTTGAGAACAAGAAGAAACATAAACTAGAAATGGAAAGGCTGTTCCAAATAGCTTGGAAACCCCAAGAACAACTCTTTTTCTTTAGCTATAATGGACTCAACGAACCCATTGCTTAGAGATTCTTCTTCCATTTGAGAAGCTGGAGCTGATGTATTAGCCATTGTAGCTACAGCTTCTGCCTCAGAAAACTCATTACCAAACAAATTGTCTAGTTCTTGATCAGGATAGTTCTGTTGGTTTTCAATTAAGGTTTCTTGGTCAAGAAGAAAGTCAGACCATGTGAAGTTAACCTCTGAATTCTCCTGAGCTATGGTGGAACAAGTTGAAGAGAACAATGGAGGAGACGAGTTAGAAGAAGAGGAAGAGGCATACATAAACGTAGACTCAGGCTTGACTTGGTTTGATGACTCAGTCATAAGCTTGATTGCTTGTAGATGAAACATGAGATCTCCTGAGTCATCAGGCTGTTGTTGTTGTTGCTGCTGTTGATGATGAGAATCTTCGTTGAGGGAGTGATTAGGTCCAAGGGAACCGGTTTGGTTCATTGGATTAGGGTTTAGGGTACCACCACCACCGTTGATGTTGCCGTATTCAGCAAGGACATGAGAAAAGGGACGGTGAGTGACATGATCTATTCCCATTTGAGACAGTTTCTTCTTTAGTTTTGAGTTCCAAACCATCTTCACTTCTTCTTCTGTCTTTCCTGGTAAATGTTGTGCAATAAGTGGCCATCTAAATCCACACACACAAAAAAAATCATCAGAATCTGTTAAATCTATTTTGAGTAATTGAAGATATATATAACACAACCTGCTTCCCATTGCTGCATGCATCTTGATGATGAGATCTTCCTCTTCAGGAGTGAAGCTCTCATGCTTAGCTCCTGCATTATCAGTCTTTCTCACTCTGCAACTCTTCCCACATCTCCTAAGTCCTATATATATAAATGTTCACACATAAATATAGAGATAAGCCATGTCAACCACATAATAAAAGAAAGAGAGATGTGTTTTTGCAACCTATTTTTTTAGAAGTTGCGGATCCGTTCTTGGAAGCAGATGCAGATGCAAACTTCTGGGAGGCGCTATCTTCATCAGTCCAAGGATTCTTTGATTTGGAAGAGCAAGATCTCACCATTTTTTTCTTTCTTTAAAGAAAGAAAATTATAAGGGAAGTTTATAAGAATTGGTGAAATATATTTAAAGATTTTCTTTACAACGATGGAGAATGAGGCATGTAATAATACAAAGGCAAAGGGAGTGTTGTGAAGAAGGAAGGGATTAGGAGAAATGGGTTTGGAGGTATAAGAAGCGTGTGTGGCAAGAAAGGCATGAATATTCTTCATCTTTCTTAAAATTACATATGCATGATTCTTTACTTATATCTATAAGTATTATTCCACTTTTCTTTTCTTTTTTTTGCCACATCTTTGGTTCCAACTTCTTTATCACATTTCATTAGATTAAATTTCATTAGATTATTTTAAATGTTTTCTAATAAAATTACTTTATAATGACATTGTTGGTATCGAAATTTAAAAGCTAGAGATATTTTTCTTGTGACGAGATCATCTTTTTCGATTTTACAGAAGTGACTGAAATTTGACATATAGGAGTTCATTAAGTAGTTGACAATATTTGAGTCTTCCATGATGATAATTGATAAGCACAAAATTTTGTATTCGTTTAAGGCTTTAAGCTCATGAGTGTGATATGGGACAAGGCAAAAAGAAATTCACATCTTTTAGAGGATTGTTCCATGGACCATAAAAGTCACATTCAGCAAAGTGAACAAGCTGCGTCGTTTTATCAAAATCCTAAGAGACCATGAACGTGTTCATACAAAAGTTAGGAAAGGTGGATTGTACACATAATAATTCCACAACACTAAATAGCCTTAGGAATCTCTGGTTCACCCTCTTCATTCTTTTCTTTTTTCAAGGTAAGAAAATGACTGAGCTAACTACACATACTTCATCTTTAGGTCTCTCTGCAACATTCTCCACTTCACTTACCCGCCGAATAAGTTGAAAACAACAGAGCAGAGATGCTTAAATGCAGAAGAAGCCGATGAAGTATATATCTTACCGCTTAACTTCTCTGGAAGGGGGGATTGACCAGAAATAACTCGTGAAAATCTTGCTTATCATACAACAGATAGAGCTTTCAGACGAAAGAGAGGTCTCTCCATGTCTTGCTTATGAATTGTCTGCCTTATCATCTTCCTTCAAGACAGTAGTACTTGGACCATCATCAAAACCAGATACAGGAGCAAGCTCGTTTAGGTCGAGGAAACGCCTTTTGCCTACTACACCCTCAGCTTCTTCTTCTTGGTCTGTGCCGTTTGATTTGCTAAGTTGATTATTCTCGGTACCGTTTGTCGTCTCGGCATAGTCATTGACCTCTCTGGGCTTTTCTTCTTCTCCTACTTCTTCTTCAGAAGATTTTGTTTCAGGGCCATTTGCATTTTCTTCAGAGTCCTCACTTCCCATAGTGAAATCCCCATTCCCTGATTCATCAGAATGTTCATCTGGCTCAACCAATCGCTTACGTTTTACCGCTCCTGACGCTTCTTTGTCTGATTCTGAGAGCTCATATTGTTGGTAATCGATTCTTGTGGCTCTTTTACTACGTCTCAGGCCTGGTCGGAAATTCTTTGACCTTGATCTTGACTTAGTTTCTCTACGTGTCATTTTCTTAGCCCTTCTCGGTTCATCACTATCTTCTTCGCTATCACTTAGAGAATCTTCCTCTTCCTCCTCCTCTTCTTCTTCTTCCTCGTACGCAGCATTGTCTTCATCCCATTTGTACTCTTCATCTCCTTTATCTCCCTCTTCCTCTCCCTCAGAACCACTAGAAAATTTCTTCTGTTTACGCTTCTTCATATATTCTTCATCATAAACTGCTTCCCCATCAATGTCATCATCGCTTTCAAACCCTACATCATTGTCTGAAACAGTTTCAACAAAGTCCGTAGCTGCATACCGCTGGGACCGTTGTCTACGCCTGTTACTGTCACGAAATTATACTCAGTTAGTTCGGACTAAATTCCCTCTAGAAATGATTGAAGGTGAAAAGAAAAATGCACTAGGTCTTGCCTTCTGTCCAAGGATTCATCTCTCTGCTCTTGGAACTCATCGTAGTCAGCAAAATCAGAAGATCTGGCAGATGCATCTGTATCGTTCACAGGCTCAGTAGGGTGGGTTGAACTTGTCGATCTGCCATTCTCAAGAGAGTCCAATCTGGCTGATTCTCTTCTCTGAAGAAAAGGTTCTTGTGATGGATGTTTCATCCTGAGATAGTATTAGTAATTACCAAAACAAGGAGAATGTAAGAGGCAATCAATAACAGTCACCAAATAATAGTGTTTCAGCAATTTAATAGCAAGAATGAATCATTAAGAGCCTACTTTGTTGTCTTGATAGCTTCATTTATCGACTGATCGTAATCATCTGCAACAATATAAAACGATTAGCACGGCTCTTCATCCAAGTAGAAATCAAGCTGGATATTTAATCAGGAAAAAACACAAAAATATCTAAAGGGGCATCATGAATTTCCAACAAGTTCGATAGCCTTACCAAAAGTGTAACTAACTGGTTTCCTATCACGGAGAGAACGGCCAGCCCCATGACCGTCAACAACCAAACAGTTATCAAGGAGAAGAGCCTGTCTATGTTGCTTTTTCAACAATTTTTCTTTCCTCTGACAGAAGAAGACAAAAAAAAAAAAATACAATTGATGAGAATTATTCGGCCACAAACGTTAGCTCAGTGGTAGAGTTGTATACTACTTTAGCCAAGGTGTACACAGGAAAAGAAAAGCAGAGAGCAAACTGGAACCTTGTGCTCTTTTTCTATCTCAGGAAGCATATCTCTCGTTAGCTTCTTCCCAAGAGAAACTTCAATTCTACTACTACTTGAATTAAGCTTTTCCTGCAAAACAAAGAGACACAGCATCTCATTCAGCAGTAAATACATAAAAAAATCATACCTATTGTCTATTATAATAGTATAGTCCTTTTGAGAAGCAAACATCAAGTGACAGTCAAAACGAAAAAAATTCACAAGCATACAAGATTAATATTTGAGTGCATAGATAACACTAGCCATCACAATCACATCAGAGACAAGCAACCATATTCATTGCGAGAATGAATTACAGACAGCCATATGGAAGTATCCTAAGCAATTTATCTGGCAATTCAGAATCATTGACTGCAGTAGAGACGTACAGAAACATCTAGGAATTCGTCGAAACTAGTGGCAACAGCTTCCCATTGGTATGTTATGTTAGGAAGAATCTTGGAACCCTTCGTTTTGACCTTAACCACCTCTGCCTTCCTTATTTCCCGATATAAACGGTGGCCAACTAAGGGATCATCCTCATACCTTCAATAAAAGACAGACAGATTCTATCAGAAATATGCAAACAATGGAGTCCTGGTTAGGTCTTTTGTATATGCCACAGACCAAAAATTAACTCCATGTGAATCACCCCCAACGCGATCTTTGCGAAAAGCTGACAGATGAACACCGGTTTTAAGAGAGTTGTCAATGTAGCATTTGATATCCTCTTGCTGTGGAAATTAACAAAACACATCGAAACTGTAAATGTTATTTATAACGATCTTGTTTTCAAGTCAATCATTGGTCGAGAGCTTAGTAGGACATCATAATGCGAACATCTAGAACCGAACATAACGAAAATTCATTTTCAACTGCAAACAGATTGACATACAGCAACAACAAACCTCAACACGAATATCACATAAAGCTTTCAAAATCACCACACGAGTGGCTGGATCAAAAGATTTGTACACTTCAATCTCCCGCCTACAAGATTACGACAACAATCTCATAAACGATTCCAAATCAGTAAGTATGAGATTCAGAAAATTATAATAACTCACCCTTGCGAGGCAACAATAGGAAGGTCCCCTTCTGCGACCTAAACAAGTAGGCAACGATCATGTCAAAACATGACGTTAATGCAAATAGTGTATTTCCAATATCAGATCAAAGATGGTTGACAATCGTTACCCAATGCCAACAATCTCTTATTTTCCTGCACAAGACAGTGATCCATGTATCACGAGTGAGAGCCATTCTAGCTACCGGAGGAATGGCCTGCAAATTGAAAAAATAACAACCTTGTAAACTTCTATTCAATTGGATATGCATAGCAGTAAAGATTATAACAAATTCCAAATCATCCACATAAAAGGGATCTACATGAATCATGCACAACAAATAAAATCACGATGTCATTCATGAAATGATCAAAGAATTCAATCAGGAAACTCTAAACACGACTCAAGAAAGCTTTTCAGAGAAATTAGTGATCCTTACTAGGTAGCATAAGCCTATTAGGTGTCTACGAGAGAAGCTAGCCAAAAATTTAAGACTAAGCCTTTAAGGTTCTAACAGAATGTGACCATTCAATCCGCTAACAAAAGGTTTTATAACTATTCACTAGTGCTTGCTTATACTAATAAGAGCTAAGAGCACCCAGAAGTACAGTGATAATGCAACAAGCTCCATTCATTTCGATGAGACAAACTCTCGGAAGTACATTGAAGTTAAACACTAATAGAAACCAAAGCAAAGCAAACCAACAAGACTAATGAAAGCATCAGTAAGACATGTCATATACTAAAAGAGTCAGAAAAAAAAAACACAACAAGAGGATAGACAAAGCACCAACCTTTAAGAGAGGAATATGAATGTCACTCAAAGTATCGTTAGGATTCAACAAAGCCGTCTCAAACTCCTCCGCTGAAAACTCCACACTGATCTTCAAAAGCGGTCTAAAAACCTTCACCATCCAAAAAAAAAAAAAGACAACTTTAAGAGTGAGTAAGTGAGTGAGCCTACTCATAGGAGAAACAGAGAGAGAGAGAGCTCACATGCAAGAAGTTGAGCACAGAAGCAAGCTCCCACATAGACCTAAGATTCCACCTTGGCATCTGCGAAGCCTCCGGAGGCGAGACAAGTGAAGTAACGATTTTGCTTCTCACTGAGCTTCCTCCAACGCATTGCATCTGAGTACTCTCATCATCCTCCTCCTCTTCTTGATCCTCCGCATCCTCGACTTCCTTCCGTTTATACTCCCTCTTAGGAGGTTTCACCCTCCTCTCCGCGGCTTGCTGCTCCTGGAGCCTCTGCTGCGTCCTCACAGTGCAAGCGCGTGACGGCCTCGTTCTCCTGAGCGGCGTGGTGGTGGTGTCCTCCGTGGGAAGTTTGGGGGCGGTGACCGGAGAAGCGTCGTCGGCGGCGGGAGAGTGGTGGATGCCGGAGACGTCGTGGTTAGGGACGATGTCGGAGGAGGAAGCCATTTAAGAGATCAAAGAGATATAGAGAGATTGAAATTAGGGTTTTTTTTTTACAAAAGAAAGTATTGATTTTGAGTTTTTTTTTTTTAGGGCATTGTGGGGGAAAATCTAAATCGGTTAAACAGAGAAGACGGAGAAAAGGAAGACGAAGGTCTAATGGCACAAACGTCGCCGTTTTGTGGATCTCGAGAGAAGCCGAAGGAGAAAAAATCTGAGGAAAAATAGATGGTGAATAAATAATTCATTATCAATTTTTGAATAACATAATTTGAAAAAAAAACTTAAGTGATGTATAAAATGTCACGGATATAATATTTTGGTACGTTTATCAGTTTTCTAAATAATACAGTGATTTGAGTATTGGTTTAAAGGTAAAAAGGTTAGTCTTGATTTATTCAGTTTACATAAGTAACTAAGAAAATTGTTTGGGAAATCTAACTATAGATGAAGCTATATGATTATGTAAAGCAAATGATCTCTAAATGGTAGGATGATCATAAATTTTGATCTTCTCTTAATTAGGTCCAAGGAGATATAAGTAAGATGCTGACACTTGGTTCTTACATTGATACTTCATTTATGTCACAACTAAATTATTAATACTCCATAAACTAATTTATTAGTTTCACTAGATCTACAATTTTTGCGTGAAAAAAACTTTGTTAAAAAAAAAAAAAAAAAACTCACCATAGTATATCACACTTATTATTGGGCCTCTACCACAACTGCCTCGTACAACACCAAACTTCTCTATTTTTTTCTTCTCTATCCATTGTAAATCAGCAAGTCTATAACATCTTTTCTTCTTTTCTTTTTGGAAGCATTTGTTTTTGTATAAAAGTAATGATTATACATCTAAATAATCTAGGACTTTGTTACCTCATTTAACAGTTTATTGCAAGAGGAAGATACAACTGAAAAGCCGAGGACAAAAGACTGGAGAGCAGTTTCAAATCTATCACTAACCTTAACCTATGACTTGCAAGCTAAACAAATCATAAAGAAAGAAATAAAGTCTAAAATGTGAAACAAACAACACTCACAGCAAATGCATCCTCTCAACATAAGACTGAAGCAACCATCTGTTGAGAGACTCACCACATCCAACGAAACAACCTGAGTTTCCACTCTCCGTGAAAAACGGTGAACCAAACATGTTCAGCAGCTCTTCAACGGCTTGTCTCACCATTGATGTACCAGTAACTCTACTACGTCTTCCCCAACCAGTTACTATATCAATCCGAGCAGGGCCAGTTCCTGAGACTAACATCTGTTTACGGAACCAAGCAAGTGTCCTAGACAGCGCGGTTATTGCAGTTCCCTCTGACATTACATGAAGATTGATAAGCCAGTAACTACTGCTTTTCTCCCTTAACGCATCAGGAAAAACGTTCTTCTGCGCTGCAACTTCCCAAACAGACCCCGCCTCTTCTTTTAGCCCTGACTTGTGTAGAAAGTCAATTACTGCGTCCACTAGTCCTCGCTTGCTTTCTCTATCCTCGCTGTGAATGAGGTCCAAGAAGCTGCTCGCATGATTCCGCACGTTTTGTCCATCAGGACCAGCAGATGGCATCTTGAGGAGAAACATGTGTGCTGGATGACCAGTGCTTGCCATTAGCTGACCACAGAAACCCATGTCAAGTTTTGACCTACCATCTGTACAACAACTCAAGAGTAACGTGTATGTCTGCAAAGATGGGCGTAAACCCATAGCCAGCATGTTTTGTAACAACTCATAAGCTTCAGTTATCTTGTTAACCCTAAGGAAGGTGCTAAGAAGGGAATTGAATGTAGGAACATTAGGTAGCAGACCAGCATGAAGCATTGCCTGATACCATTGCCATGCCTTCTCCACATTACCAGCTTTCCCCCACAGATCCACAAGAAGACCATAAACCGGCTCATCAGGAATCCAGTTCTCCTCCTGCATCTTGGCGAAAACAGCTTCTGCTTCCTCAAGATATCCACAGTGTCCGAGCACCACCATCATAATGCTATAAGTCACTTTATCAGGCTTAAACCCAGCGGCTTGCATGTCACGGTAAAGCTTCAACGCGCTCTGATAGTTTCTCGCTTTGGCATGCAAGTCGATCATGATGTTGTAGGTGACCAAGTTAGGTTTAAAGCCCTGGTCAACCATCTCACAAAAGAGCTTGTGCGCAGCTGGTAGACGCCCAGCTTTTCCAAGGCAGTTTATTATCAAACTGTATGCAAAAGTGTCAGTTTCAATACCTGCTGCGTTCATTCTCTGGTGCATATCCATGGCAATGTCCAGAAATCCAGCCTTGGCATGAATGTCTATAAGTGTACAGTACGTTACACGGTCAGGCTCGCATCCAGACTTTTGCATTTGATTAAACACATTCATAGCTTCCTTCAAGTAATTGGCTCGGCCATAGCTGTGGATAAGACGGTTATAGGTTACTATAGTTGGCCGACATCCTTCTCTAACCATCTCGTTTAGGAGCTTGTTTATCGCGCCGAATTGTTTAGCGCGGCCGAGGCTACCAAGCATAGTGGTGTAGGTGTAGTCATCGTGCTTAAACTCAGGTTGTCTTTTCAACCAGTAGAAGAAACCAAGAGCGCTTCCATAGTCATTCATCTGCATAAGGACTTGGTTTGCTTGGCGTGGATTCATCACAATCTTCTTCTCATCGCGGAGTTTCTCTAGGGCCTCTTCGGCAGCAGGGCCCCATCTGAAGCTTTTCAAAACGCTGCAAACATTCTCCACAACGTGTCCGGTATTACAATGCTGCCTTCCTGTTGAAGATTTGCTGAAACCGTTTGACTTTGGCACAAACTCGTTCGAAACAATATTGTTTCTTTGCAGCATGCTTGTCCTGTTACTAGATGTGTTACTTGTTGTCGGTTTTGAAACTTGTTTGAACTCTTTAACAATTACACCTCGCGCAGCTTCCTTACCCCCTTGGAAGTTGCGATTATGATTTCTAGTTTTGCTCTCTTTTGAAGATGAACCAGGGTAAGCTTTGGCAAAGTCTCTTCCTATAGCTTTCACATTAGAAGACTTGACACTTGTAATAGGCCGAGTTGGATCCACCATAAAGCTTTTCGGCAATCCATATACTTCACTTCCTCCATCAAATGAAGGAAGCTTACAGTTTGCTAAATCCGACAGAATGTTTACCGCCTTAACACCTGCCCTAAAAATCTGGTCCCCAAAAGGTGCTGAAGAAGCTTCCTCCTCCTTTCCAATGACTGCTGATGCATAACTAACCGAAAGTGGTTTACTCGGCAATAGAGATGGCCGACCAGAATCATCAACCTTCTTAGGAACAACATGGTTACTTGCCTCTCCTGGTGATATACTTGCAACTACAGAAGGATTGAGGACAGTATTAGACTGTGTTTTTTCAGTCTGTGCAGCTTGATTTCTAAGTTGCTGGCGTCTGGAGACAAAAGGTTCATCATCAGTGTATGGACGAGAACTCCCATTAGCTGCATTTAATCTCGATCCACTGAGAATAAAGGATTTTGCTGAACTTGAAAGTTTACTAATTTGCTTTGCGGGTGTCATTTCTCTGCAACAAATGAAAGTTTTACAGATTCAAATACTCACATATATATATTATAAATATCCATTTTCTAGCTCTTCTCCAAACTTAGTAAATTACTACAACTACTAGGTTCTCCTCAAACAATTCAAAGTCTCCAACTTTATGGTATACTCACAAGTTAAACCATAAACCCACTTCGAAATAGTGAAAATTCAATGCAAAATCCAAAGCTAGAATACAAAAAGGTCTATACTTTGTTTCTGCATAACATTCAATTCTAACACGGTGCTGAGAATCATGTGACCATAAGAATCTCCCTTCTAGACATATGACTCGAGTCTCACTATGGTTTATTAATCCAGTGATTGAGAAGAAAAAGAGAAGTAAGCGAGATCAATAGAGCACACACTTCACCTGAAGAACACCGTTAAGTTGAGTAGTTGTTGTAGCTTATGGTGTTGGAGCTGCCTGCGAGATTCTTCAAGGGAGATTGAAACTAATGGATTCGTCTTCCCATTAAAGCTGAGAGAAACGTTCTTCTTCTTTACTCTCCAAGCATATTGATCACACAGACGGTGGCTGCCAACTCAAGGTTACAACCTTCTTTTTTTTGCTCTTTTTATATATTTTGACCTCAATTTTCATATATACCCCTGAACTTTCATAGTTTTTCTAATTATGTACAATAGTCTTATTCCTTCCAGAATTCTCTCAGTTCTGTTTTTTCTTTTCGGAATTTCTTATCTCACAGCCATTCCTGGTGAAATTATTACTTTTTAATGGTGTACTTGGATTTTTTTATTCCATTACAATGCTACATTTAGTATTTTGTTATTTTGTGATTCACTACATTACTTTCAAATTGATTTTTATGGTATTATGAAGAATATATGTCTTTTGGCTCACAAGCTGAGTTTCATTTTATTATTATCTTGTTTTACCTTTTCCCCCTTTGACTTTTTCTTATTTGCAACGTACAAGCTTTGCCTTCATCAAGTTTCTTTCTTACGTCTTCAGTTACACGTGGTGTTGCTTTCATGTCTTGCCCGTGATTGTTATGTTACTTTAGTATTCAAAGAGATTTGCTTTCTTGTTATAAAGGATACTACTGGAAAAGCCTAACACTAACTTGATGAAAAATGGGTTGTATTATGTAATGTTTTGTTCAAGGGTTGTATCTTTATCATCTCAAAGCCAACTCACAATCCTAAACCCAATTATGCAAAATCACAGTTTTTTTTATTACACTGAAACCTTATCAAACTCATTACAAGACTTATCCTTGTCCACAACATCTTTGTAACGGTACCAGTGTGAGACCAACAAGAAATAAGCAAAGTTTATAGTCATCATACCAGCAACAAAGTAGTAAAAATACTCCAATCTCCCCTTGTTTAAATCTTCAGGAAGCCAGTTCCCACCCGAAGACCCCTCCGTGACATCATGCACAGCCGATAACAAAAAGCTGCTTAGGTAACTCGATAACCCTATCCCACAATAATACAAAGAACCAGCAAAGCTCCTCATGTTCTCTGGAAACTGTTTGTAATAAAACTCCATTTGACCAACACCAGCTAGTGCGTCTCCGATACCCATCAACACTAGCTGAGGTATCAGCCACATACCAGACATTGAAGAGATTGCACCTTTTCTTGGTGCAAAACCTAGTGTCGGTTTTGTCAAAGCTACATGTCTTCTGTGTTGCTCTACTGCTGCGGACACCATCATACTTGTGATGCATAGAAACAGTCCTGCTCCAACTCTCTGTAGCTGTGTGATACCACCGTCTCTTCCTGTATACTTTCTAAGGATAGGGACAAGGACACGGTCGTAGATTGGAATGAAAACTGTCATTCCAAGCATCAAGAAGACCGTATAAGACCCCGCTGGGATCTGGAAAGTTCCTGAACCGAGACGTCTGTCTGATTGAAGAGACTGAAAGATTGTGTAGGTTGTTTGTTGAATGTAAGCTAGGTAGAATAAGGCTGCTGAGAGCCAAACCGGAAGCACACGGATCACACACTTCACTTCCTCTACTTGCTGCATACTGCAGAGGCTCCATGGATTCTCTGGTGAACCATCTATGTTCAGCTTATCGTCTGGTGTTTGGATTGCCGCTCTGTCAAGGCACCTACACATTAATAAAACCCTAAAACGTTTATGCTTGTTCCACAAGAAACTCAGAAGAAAGGATGTTTAGATCATGATTAACCCGGGTTCTTAGCTTCGGTTAAGAACCGTTTCTTAGCTTTTAACTAAAAAAAATAAGAATCGTCTCTTAAATAAGCGATATAAAAATCGATTTTTAGCGGGAAAAAGAAAAGAGTGTCAAATCATGAAATAAGAACATCAAATTAAAAATCCGGATTAATCATACTCTTAGATTTTAGTTAGTCCTATGGACACATTTATCCGTTATCCGGAACTGAAGAACCGAACCGAAAAACAAGGTTTGCATCTTACCAACTACCCAAGCAAATCCTATATCTCTAAAACCTAAACCAAACAGAAACCGATCCGAGAACTAAATTGGTACCCGAATTTGTGTAGTATAGTTTATATTTGTGACAAAAAAAAATCTAGGATTAGTCTTTTTAACTAAACTTAGACTTTTTTTGTTTAGAGTTGAAGAGAGGGATTTTGGGGATAGAGTTTCAAATTAAAAAATAGAAAAAACTTAAAATTTTCAAAATAAAAAATGTTATTTTGATCATTTTAATTTTCGAAGTCTATTTTTATGATAAAAACTTAAAAAATGACTATTTGATAGAATTTCCCTTTTAAAATAATCAAATAATTTTAAAATATTATTTAGTTTTAAAAATGAGGCTTAGCACTTTTAGTACCTAAACTGCTTTGTATGACTCAGTTTGGAGTTCTTGAAGTCCTTTGCTATGTAGTTGTAAAGACCATCAGAAGACGAACCAACGAGCTTTAACCTCCTTTTCTTGATCGCGACAACAATGACACGTGTGATGCTATGAATAGGACTGCCACTAGCTTTAACCTTGACGTAAAGCTTAGAACCAGCGAAGAAGATAATGCAACCAAGTAACATCAAGATAGCTGGGATGGCTAAACCAATGCTCCAGCTCACGTTTGACTGAACATAAACGATGAGTGTTAACGACACCATCTGAGCAAACGTGAAGGTGAAGAAATACCAATTAAAGAAACTCTCAATCCCTCGTTTGCCTTCTTTCGTCTTGGGATCAAACTGATCAGCACCAAAAGGGAGATTACAAGGCCTGATCCCACCGGCTCCGATGACCAGTAAAACCATTGCTCCGGCGAGGAACATTATTTGTCCGATGGTTGGCCCCTTGCACACGGTACCTAGCTCTTTAGAGCATTTAGCTGGATGCAGGTGTTTAATCACAGCCGTTAGATCCATCGCCACAGAACCCTTTGAAACAAACATAACAAAAGATTCTTACGTTCAGACAGGAATAGTGAGACTAGTGAGTGTTTTTAAAACTTGTGTTGTGAAGTGGTTACGAGGAAGCAAGCGATCATGGCGAAAGATAGGGTTTTGTAGCGGCCGAAGTAAGAGTCGCAGAGGAAAGCTGCGACGATGGTGCCGAAGTTGCTTGTACCACCGTAGATGTTGACGACTGTTGCCGCCGTGATGCTCTTCATGTTGAAAACCGTGGTTAAGTAGATGACTAGATTTGATGAGCTCCCAACTATTCCAAGCTTCTCAAATGTCTCATTTCCTGACATATTATGAAACAGAACATCAAGCTACTCTGTTTATAAAAGTCATCCTGTTTTTTTCCTCTTCAGTCTCTTGTTTGTTTTTTTGACTTCAAGATCAAAATGTTATGAATGAATCTAAATATTCTTAGGTGCAGGGAAACAGCATAAAGCTACAATAAAATTACTTTGAAAATTAATACTCTTGCTAAATTAATAAATAGTGTTGGATTCTAACATGTGTTCTCTAACTAATGTTGATAACTTCTTATATGTGTTTTAGAACTCTTATATAGATATAAGGTTTCATTAAATATGATTTAATAATTATATACAACTACACAGACTTTATTGATTTCTTAATACCATTTTCTTTATTAACAAAAAAAATACTATTTATTTTCTTAAAATTGAAGTCTCTCTTGAATTTATTAGAAGGAAAAAGATGGGTTTGTATATCATAATATAAACTTGTCAATATAGAAACAAGAAAACAAAATGAAATTAAAAAGAAGTCTAATTCAATAGATTTTTTTAGCAAATAATAAATAAAACAGATTTAAAACCAGGAAAAAAGAGCTTATTTTTTGGAAGACGAAGCAAGTTAAAAAGGTTATTAAGGCAGAACTCTTATCAAAAATAGGAAAAATCAACTCATCAGTTTATTGATATTCAAATAGTTTGTAGAGATTAGACTGTACTTTGTTAGGTGTTTGTTAGGTGTCTTGTTCGTTTCAGGATCAGAGTTTTCATGCAAATTAAAAAGAGTTCAGAAGTGATACGGATTAGTTAGTACCAATAATGAAGGGCATGACTTTCCATCCTCTGTAGATGATCTTAGACTCATCATCCTCTTCCTCTGTAATGTTTTTTTCTGTCTTCTCAACCTCCATGACTCTCTGTTGTTCTCTCTCTATGCTCTACTCTACTCACATTAAATGTGTGTGTATGCGCCTATATATATATTAGTGGGACGTCTGAAGAACCAAAAAGTTAATTGGACATTATACCAAACCAAAGTGTTTGATTAGATATTAATTTTGACTAGAAAAGACTCTACTTTATCAAAAAGAGAGGACAGGAGTTGGTATTCCTTAATTATTTATCAACAAACGCAATGACTTGCCCGGCCTTGGCTAAAGGGTGTTATAAAATTGTACAGTATGATATTCATTTTGTTTAAATACTTTTAAAATTCTATTTTATCATTATGTTGATTTTTTTTTTAAAGATATGACTACGTTAATGTATAGTATAATGTAATTTATTTTACCATAAAAAATTGTGGCCCCTTAAAATTGGAAAAAGGTTTGGTAGCCTAATATCATTACCTTTTTTAATACAACTATGTCACAGCTCTATACAAACGCACATTCCACCATTTCTCTTGTAAGAGAAAAGTTTACAGTTTGGATATGTTATTAATATATTTGTTATGAAATAGTCTAAGCTCTTTTGATTAAACATTAAGTAGCAATCAAGAATTTATATTTTATGGGCAACGAATCTATCCTTTGCGTTTTAACATGAAGAAACGAAAATAAAAAGTTGTTTGCTAAACCTACTTAACCTCATCGAGAATAAATTGAGGCAGTGAATGCAGACAATGTTCGGTGGATCTTATCACCGAATTGACAATACCGTCATTGATTTACCATTCATGAAAATTTGTTTGACACATGTATTTTCCAATTAAAAACTGATAATGGAAGTTAGAAGTAACTTACATGGAGTATTAATTGGGGTTTGTTTTTAGTAATGAAATAAATCTGACAGGCTTTAAAAATTAATATCATGAAAAGGCAATTAATCTCCTCGTTAACGTTACTTCTTCTTTTCATACTTTAATCATGCATTGTATAGAAAAATCATTTTTGATCGCAATGATCGTCCCTTTACTTCTCATTTGCACGCGTATATGCTTATTTTTCCTATGGTAAATGCGAGCCTCAACACAACTTGTAAGAATGAATAAACTGAAGATTTATCTTAAAATTTTCTATGACTCCCCAAAATGCAAACTCATTTGTATATTTTGACGTTATACATTATTAATTTTCATCTGAAATTTGTGCATTACTTTTGCAAGTGAGGAGTAAAAGAATATTTATATTGATTTAATAATAAAAAGGTGTCATCTAAATTATTGGTACTGGAATAAAGCATTTAATTTTTTTTAAAGCATTTAATTTTATAGTGAGATATGATTGTAAGAACACTTATAAGAGAATATGACTGATGGGAGGAGGACATGCAGATTAACTTTGGGGTCACAGGTTAGATTATAAGTAGAACAAAAAATGTTCCATCTTTCTCTTTTTATTAGATTAACACAAAATTAAAGTAAAAAGAAACCAATCACATTCTGGAAACAATATGTTGAAAGTATTTATCCACTAGCACTTACTGATAATCAGATTACGTTTGATACTATATAATTATAAAAATAACTTGTCATTTTCTCATGAAGGTGGTGGAAATATACGTCAGCCTTGAATCATAATGTGCGTAAGTGCGTTGTAGACCTTACTGTCAGTTTTCAACATCATCATCTTTTTGGTCAGGCATTGGAAAGTTGATGCAGCGTCATTAGTTAATGGGCTGCAAAGCTGGCTCATGTTCAAGTGTTTTAGTAAACTGCACAAAACATAGTTTTCAGATTTCATAAAGACATGGAAATTGCAGTACTGTCTCAAGAACAAAAAATTGCTCACCTGAGAGATCTTAAGCTCAAGCTCGTTCCACTCTGAGGATGGATCGCTTCCTGAAACTATTCCTGTTCCTGCATAGATCAATGCTCCAAAACCCTAGGGAACACAACAAGAAAAGCAGATCAAATAGATGATGCAATGACTTAACAGTAGATGTGTTACACTGAAAGACTGTTTACTTTATCGACTAAAGCAGATCTTATGCCTACAGAAAATTCACTCTCTCCACCACCAAAGAACCCAATAGGTCCAGCATACATTCCCCTATCAAATGTCTCTGTTGACAAAAATAAAAAAGAAGTAGAGTATGTAACAAGTTTCAGTATATAAGTATAATTATCATAAAGCATCTACTAAGGCAGAAGAATCAAAGCATATTCTACCAATCTGCTGAATCAAAAGTCTTGCTTCATCTACTGGGCATCCACAAACAGCTGGCGTTGGATGCAAAACTTTTAAGATGTCAAACTGACAAAAAAAAAAAAAAAAGACAAAACATGTTTTGGTGTAAGAATTTTGTAAGCTTGCTTCACTCACTACTATGATGATACTGAAGAGAATATAACAAGAATTGAGTTCCAAAAAATGAATAAAACTATTTCAAGTAAATCATGTAACCTCGTCATCTTCTCTTCTTAGCTGCCCTGCTAATTGAGAATATAGATGCTGTACTCTTGCTAGCTTTCTCACTGTTTTTTGGGGCTTTACCATTACTCTGTCACATATGGACTGCAAAGCAGAAGATTATATATATGATTCTGCTATAGAAAGCTGATTTTTATATGAAACAAGTGCCACTATAAACTGCAAAAGAGCATAAAAATGAAAACTAAAGAACTTACATTAAGTTTTTCTCTTATATTCTCTCGTACAATGGAGAATTCAAGATCGTCTTTGGGACTGCAAATGCATTTGTAAATTGTATCAGTAATCATCATATCTGGAAGTTTATAAACATGCAAAAAAAAAAAAAAAAAAAAAATTGACCTGGTTAGTAAGTCGCGCTCTATCTCCAAATCAGAAACCTCTGAATCACCTCTAGGCCTGGTTGCAGCCAAAGCCTCACTCCAGACACCTAGATGTTTCCTATAGAAGAGTCTCTCAGGCTGCTCCACAAGAATCAACACTTGAGTTCACATCATTTCTAATAAACAATGTCTGCTAACAAATTCGATATAACAAAATAGCTAGAAATAGGTAACCTACCGTGTTCCCTATGAATGCTGGTGCACCTGGTGGTTGAAGACAAAACTGATACGCGTCTTGTCCTTCACACTGTCGTATTAATAATTAGAGTGAGATACTAACACCTAAATGTTGCTTTAATAGTAAAGAATGTGTGAGGAAGAAAAGAAACCTGCAACCGTGCTAGCCAAGCAATAGGATCAATATCGGTATCAGTAATGATTCTGCTGCTGCGTGCAAGTACAACCTGACTCCCAAAACCCAAAATCATCAGGTTCATGAAAGGAAGAAGATATAGTTCTTTAACTAAGTTACCTTGCTTAGTGGTGAATCTTCTGCTTTAATAATCTCCAGAGCAGTATTTACAGAAGGGTAATAGTCTCCTTCACTAGGAACATGGTTCTTGCTAACAACAGAAACTCCTAGAGATTCTCGCCGTAGTCTCTCTACTACAGAAGAAACCTGAAGCATAGTCTCCTCAAGTGCTTCAATGGCGTTCTGTAGTGTCCATGAGAGGTCATCCTCCCAAGCAACAGTTGCAGCCAGCATTGAGTTTGCCTCAAACTCAACAAACTCGACCTATGCATGTATGTATCAGCCAAATAGTAAACATGACAGCCATAACGGTAGCAAAACTTCTCTTAAAACGAAACAAAGACTCTCATACCTGAGGCACTGTAAAGTAAAAGGAGCCAAACTGTTCCCATTCAACACCAACTTCTCCTTTGGGATCAAATCTTAGTCCACCATAGGCACGAATCAAAGGAGAGTTCGAAGACAGAAACCTTTTCAAAAGAAACAGAGGAAAGAGACCAAAAAACATAAAGACTCAAACCTTCATATGCATGAAACAGAGGAGACTTGCAAGACAAGGAACCTTTTCAAGAAACAGAGATAAGAGACCAACAAAACATCAAGAACCAAACTTTCAGGGTTATGGAAAAAACTGTTGATGTTACCTTCGGATAGATCTCCAGTGATCATGAGAGAAGGGGTCATGATCACGGAAAAATACAGCAGAGCCAAGTCCAGCAACACTGACAGGGTTAACATCAGATGATCCATTCACATTCTCACTAGCCAAGTCTTGGAGAAGCTCTGGACGGCCAGTGTCGCTGCGAGGGGAGAAGAAACTGCGAGGAAGAACATCATTCTGTGCATGAAGCCAGTCGAGTGCCCCGATTTGCTGGTCTATCGGCACCTACAACATTGGTTTTTGTTTTGAATTTGCGCGGGACAATTTTGTATTGCGGCAATTGACAATTTGGTTATATC